ATTCTTGCCAGAAAAACGTGGTCTTTTTCTTTGGTGATCATCTTTTGAAGTTCAGGGCACAATGACAAGGTCGGGCTCCTTCTTTTGTTTCATCGCTGGTGAAATTGTTTTTACTGGTTTTTAATTTTAAAATGTTTACTTTTTTAAAATTTATTTATTTATGGCTGCTTTGGGTCTTCATTGCTGCGCACAAGCTACCTCTAGTTGCGATGAGCGGGGGCTACTCTTTGTTGCGCTGCGCAGGCTTCTCATTGCAGTGGCTTCTCTTGTTGCGGAGCACGGGTTCCAGGCACGCGCGCTTCAGTAGTTGTTGTAGCACGTGGGCTCAGTAGTTGTAGCACACGGGCGCAGTAGTTGCAGCAGGCCAGCCCTAGAGCGTGCGGGCTTCAGTAGTTGTGGCTTGTGGGCTGAGTAGTCGTGGCATGCGGGCTCCACGGCACATGGGCTTCAGTAGTTATGGTGCGCAGGCTCAGCAGTTGTGGCTCGTGGGCTCGAGCGCAGGCTCAGTAGTTGTGGCGCACGGGCTTAGTTGCTCCACAGCATGTGGGATCTTCCCAGCCCAGGGATCAAACCCGTGTTCCCTGCATTGGCAGGTGGATTCTTAACTACTGCGCCACCAGGGAAGTCCCTCCATCAGTGTTTTTGTTTGCTTGTTTTTTAAGTCCTTCTATTAATTCTAATGTACAAATAGGGCTGAGAACCATGAGCTGGACTTTGCCTTCTAATTGTTCATAATTTGATACACATAAGCACCATTAAAAAAACATTTTATTACCTGCATTAACGAAGGCAAAATACAAAAAAACCCATAAATTATTTATACTCTGAGTGTTCAGTCAGTAATTCTTGAGCAGCCAAGGAAGCAGGAAGGGCTAGAAGAGATGTGTATGGCTTTGCTTCAAAATATTTTTATCTAGCTAGATAACAGTAGTAACACACCTGAAGGAACCAGGGAACACCGTCAGAGGTAATGCCCAACTTCTAAGATAGTCCTGGAAACCTCCCATGGACAGGAAGGCACTGTTGGGTGCTGGGCACACTATTTTGAAGAAAGTGAAGTTTATGGTTTAGTGAGGGAGGCGGCTACACTGATAACCAAAACATGCACCAAAGAATTAGTCCAGTTCTCATGCAGTCACACTTCCCAACATCAAGTTCGAATTTACGTGGTATTGTTTAGAAGTGCAGGAAGTGTTTAGAGGTGAAATTGATGGCCGGGATTTACTGCGTCTGGGCAGTTTCTGAAGAGACTCAACCTGGGTTTTCAGGAAGGGGAAAGGGCAATGCAAGTCTGTAAAGCAACCTGAACCATGGCATGGAGTCATCAAGGATTTTCAGAAAGACAGTGACAGGCTGAAAAAGCAGAGAATTCAGAGATCAAGGCTGCAGCCACTGGGAGTGTGCAGGCCAAGACAGGCCTTCATAACAAACTGGGAAAAGAGTGTAGAAGTGAGGGAGTTTAGGGTGTCTGAATTTCTTGCCTGAGAGATGAGAATAATGGTGATGCCACTGACTTAGAAGGCAAAGCTTAAGGGGCAACCACGTTTGGAACTGGGGTTTCAGACGAAGGCAGGACATCTAAGGATCAACGATCAGGAGGCAGATGGGTCTGGATTGGAGCTCCAAGACCACAAGCCGGGTGAATGACCTGGTTATCCACACTCCATATTCCAGGTGTATCCACATTCTTGTAGAATAGTAATAAAACAGAAAACGTACCAGTATTCTCAGGTTCTGGAAGAATAGGAAGCAGTGGACATTGCCTCTCCTCAGCTGACCCCTCATTAGCACAAGGCAACTTTGCTCTCCTGCCCACCAGAAATGAGGACAGATGTCCAAACATGGTCTCTTTTGAACCCACCTTGGTTCATCCTCCAGGAAGCTTGTCTTTTCATGGTTTCCAACTACTGCAGAGGGCGGAGCTGAGGGACAGCGACTGAGTCTTCACACACGCATATCTGAGCACACTGCTCCAGGTAGGTATGGGGGAAGGCAGGAGATGGTCAGCTAGTCCTTATACCGCCATCTCTGGGAGAACTGATGCTTACAATTTGCAAGAACAAAGCCATTACAAAAAGGCCCCTGGGGTTTTCTGGGGGAATTGAACCTAAGTTAGAATAAGCAGAGCCCATACAGACTGACTTCAGGTCTGGAGAGGCATTTCCATTTTACACAGTGAGAATGATGGCGGTGGTGGTTCTTCGACGTATATCACTTGGGTGTTTCTGGACTTGCCCACATTCAGTGTGGAATAAAGACACACGTGCTTGTCACAGGGATTATTTCAAGGAATAGAAGCCCGCTAAAAGCAGCGTAAGCAAAAAAGGCTAGGGTCTTACCGTAAAGGTACAGGGTTCTCAAGGGGAGGAATTCTAGGGCAGGAGCCAGAAGTGGGAAAGGGAAAGCCAGCCTTCAAGGAAAGTTTGCTGGTGTGTGGCAACTACACAATTCCTCGTTCTTGCTTCTCGGTGTGCCTGCACCATCCTTTCCTTTCCCACCGGCTTTCTCTTCTTCCTTCTCTTGCACGTGGCCCAACATGGCCACCCCAGCTCAGACTCCACAGGACCCTTTTGCTTAAACACCTACCACACTTCACTGGTTTCTCTCTCTTCCTTCAACCCTCCCTGTCCCAGTTCTAACTGGCCTAGCTCATGTATTTAAAGAGGTGGCTGGAGAGGAGGCCGTGTGGGCAGGGTTGCACCCCATCGCCAGCCACACGTATCTATCTATCTGCAGGCATCTTAACATCCACCAACAAGTATCAGAGAGTGAACACCTAACAAGTCCAACCCTACTTCGGCACCAAGTGGTTTAGGCAAAAAAGTATCTGCTTTGAATGTAACCAAACAGCAACTCCGACGTTAAGCACAGCAAATTCATCTCTTTGTTCTGCGTTTGTGGTTTCTCTGAAAACAGACTTAAGCCAGGCCAAAGAACACAGCCACCTGTGGCAGGAGCTAGTCTTTCTAGTGTGCTTAGAACACCCAGGGGCAATGCCATTACAGTGGTCATTTGATGTTTCAAAATTACGCCTTGTTTAGGTTTAAAGAGCTTGCTATAAAGATTCTGGAGCTAGGCCGCCTCAGTCTGTAGCCTGGCTCTGCTCCTCATCAGCTGTGGGACCTTAGACCAGGGGCTTCCCCAATCTGTGCCTCAGTTTTCTCATCGTAACTTGGGGTTAATAACGGTACCGGCCCCATAGAGTGATTACGAGGACTAAGTGTATTAACATTTGTAAAGAGCTTGGAATGATGCCCAGCAAAGAGTATGTGTTCCATAAATGATACTTATTACTGGCATATTCATTAAGCAAAAACCCACACAATCTTTAAGAGAAGCACTTGATAAAATACTTTAAAAATAAGTTTATTATAACTAATGAATATAAAATCTGACAGATGTTTTCAAATATTTTTGCAAAAAAAGTAAATCCCTCCCTTGTTCCCCCTCCCCACAAGATACAGAGTTAGAACTTGGACAGAGTTTTACATGAAACCTAAACATGAAATTCTCATTTATCAGTTGATCCTTAAAGGCTCCAACACATTATATTCTAAGTAAAGGTCCATTAAAATTAAGGAATCAACAAACCACTGGACACTTGCTTTCTACTGTTGCTTTCTACTGTCATTATGATGCTCATTCAAAATGCTAAAGGACAAGAACAGGTAACATAGGATTGCATGTGACAGATATTCAAGGCGCATGGATCTATGAGATCACAAACAATGGAGATGAGAATACTGGGGGTAGAATTAAACACTGACTTAAAAAAGCAACCCAAGGAAATCTATGTACATTGTAGCCTTTGGCATCTGGTCTAACATCTTTCTTCTTTATAGAGACATCATTTTGTCCAATCTATTAACCAGATTAAATCAACCTTAACACATGTCTCATCTGACACAGATTGTCCACAGCCAATTTCATATGAGGTAGTTGGGCTGTTTACTGACATTCTAGTGAAAATTGTCATGACACAAAGGGATTCATGCATCAAACATGCCACAGGAGACTGGCTCATTAGCCTTCTGGGAAGCAACAGAATTACTTCTAGATCACCTTTCTTGTCACCACTGACTCCATATACACCTATAAACAGACACAGATACGCAGGAGTCTGTGGATGAGATCAGCTTTGCAAGGGGTATCAACCATTTCAGGGTGGTTTCTGTTTATAAAGTACAGGGAAGAAATACTGATCACACTTTAAAATATATAAAATAGAATGGACAGTCCTTAAAACAAGCAAGATCTGTTGTGTTCTCACATAGCTTAGCTGAAAACATTTGTTCACGCTCAAAGAGAAGTGATTAAAAAGGGTAACCGAAGAATTTTGAAAACTTTTGCTTTGCAGAGTAGTGGTATGTTTTTTCCTTTTAATTTAAAGCTATATAGAAACAGTGGAGAAGAAAGATCAATGCCTGCGTCAACCGTACCGCTGAGGATCGCTTCCAAGTGCCTTGATGCAGCAGCGCAACAAGAAATCATGCAAATGGCTTCTGTACACAGGCTACTTACTGCCTGCGCCAGGATAGGACTGGGGACATTTCCAGAGGAGGTCTACTGAACAGTATGTTCATGGAATTGCTGAAAGGACCCTAACACCCTTGTAATAGATAAGCAGTCTCAAAATACTATTAGACAGCTAGTGGGTATTTTTGTCATTCTTATGAACCCCTGAGTAAGCAACTGCAGACCACAAAGGGCTGCCCAGAAGCAGAGTGTGTTTCTAAGTAAAGCACTCTATGTGCACGTCACAGGGACACGGGCTGCCGTAGACACTGAAGCTCATGTACAGAGTCCACCAGATCACAAACGGCATGGAAGTCAGCCCCTCCAAGACCAAACATGTTAGCTCAGCTGACAGAACAATGGCTTAAAATGTACTGTACTTATAAATTCTAAATCTAAAAAAATTTTTAAAGGTTGATAGTTCACCTTAAAAAAAGAAATGAAACACAAGGGCAGGGAAGTTGAAGAGTTATAAAACCCATGACTAATATCAGAAGTAACTGATTTTAATCGATGATTCAGAAATGCACCATCATGTAACCAACTTCTTATAGGACATGGTCGTTTAGCAGAGAAAAACATAAAAAGTAGTGTTTCAGGAAGTTTCCAAAATCACATCATCTTGTATCGCTCATGACCCTTTGACTCCTCCTACTGACTTAAATGATATTTCTTCATACATATGACTTTCACAATCAGATTAAGTTTCCTTAATAAGATACCTCTTCCTTCAGCTCTTTTACTTACTTCAAATTTAATAAAGAAAGGTATAATTTATTTATTGGTCCCTACCACATATTTTTCTTAATTAAAAACACTTTTCCGAAAATATAAAGTTGAAAGCATTAACTTTTGATTAATTAATAATCAAAAAGAGGAGACGGCAAACCTTTCCAGCAGCACTCATCTAATAACAGATCACCTTTCCTAGATGCTACACACCATGTGGTCACCCGCTTTACAGCTACACATGGGAACAGGGGTTCTTTAAGAAGCTCTTGCAGTCTGGGAGGGGAAGAGAATGCCCACTGACTGGGCACCTGACCCTGGCTAGGTCTGTGCCAGATGCTCCACGGATGTGCTAGAAGCTGCTGCTGAAGAATGGAGCAGAACAGCTAAGAAAGGGGATGGATTTGGTGCTCTGATGGGGGCACTGTTCGCAATCATTAGTAAGAGAAGAGGAGAGAGAAGCAGCAGGGCTGAACTATGGAGTTCAGATATCCCTCATCGTGGAATATGACATTTTGGGAGCATTTATTTTCAGAATGACACACAAATAATGATGACAAGGCACCTGAAGCCACTACTTACACATCCTAACAAACGCTGCCTTTCAAAGTCAATGCCCTGGGGACTGATGTGCTCAACATTCCAAGAGCCCCAGTTCTAGAACTACCTGAGGAGCTGGATCAAGAGGTGATGAGAAAATCATTCCTACCTCAGAGTCACAAGTTGGTTCTTCCCCAAAAGGTATCCCTCTAACTTAACATTTTTGTCAAGATTAGGTATAATGAATCAAATCTGCTTTCAAGGACAAAAGAAATTTGCCATCATTGAAAGGATTTTGTTCAGTTAGACAAATATATATTAATCCCTACTAAGTGTAAGGGCTGGCTTCTGCAGTGGGGAGAAGTGCAGACACGATGAAATTATGTGTATGGAAGTGCCTTATAGGAGGTCGTCCAAACGCTACTTATTAGTTAGAAGACACATTACCTTTTCTTTTCCTTCAGGATCTCTCTAAAGGTTACTCTAGAAAGAGAATCCTAAAAACGTTTGAGCAACCAACAAACATACTAGCGTTTTCCCATCTCCTCTCATTGTCAGAGAAAGAAAGCTTAGAGGTCCCAGGAATCTTAGAGGATTATGGAGAGAAAGCCTTATCTTTTCTCTTTGTCCTCGTCTTAGATAGTAAATGTCAATTAGCACACATTATGCCTTTAAATAAAATGGAGAAGCAAATACTGCAGGTCCAGGAGGAAGCTCTGACCGTGCCAAGCGTCAGGCCAAGTTGAATTTGTCATCTAATATGAAGTTCAATTTCCAGAGCTTTACGCATCTTAGGTAAACTTAGTATGCTCCAGTGAGGAAAATACCTATCAAAAAACATTATCCCCTTTCTGTAGGGTTGGAAAAGTGTTGAGTAGGTAATGCAGCTTATTCAAGTTATTCAAGCTACTCTGATCTGGGTTCCCAAAGATCCCAGATAATATGAAACCCTTCTTTCCCAGAAAACTGGGTCATATACACCAAGGCAGTACCTATAGAACCGCGCAATGGCCCTGCTGAGCAGCTTTCTTTCTGTGTGTATTCAAAGCCTCGGTGGAAAATCTGAGGTATTTTCAGTGTGCCCACCTCTCTCCCAGAGGCCAGACCAGCTCTCCTGAGGTGTCGGGGAGCACCACCACTTGCTCAGAACGGTCGTGCTTCACAACACTTACAATCTCCTGGCAGCGTCCCCACCCAATGGTGCAATGTCTAATGTGCATTCATTCAAGGTAAAGCAAAGGCTGGTGGCTTTTTCTTTTTCCCTTTTAGGAGGCTCTGTAAGGGCAGGAAGTCTAACTTATCCCCTAGTCCTGCCATCATGTTCACACTAGCCAGAGAAGGAGGTCCGCACTAATTACTCGTGCGAATGGGAGAAGACAACATGCACACCTTAGCAGCTGGTAACAGCAAGCGCTAAGATACAAAAGAATCAACATCACTTTAGCACCCTTTTTCTCCCTAGCCTTAAAATATTTGATGTTGCTTTTCTAAAGGTTAAGCATTTTCCAGAAGTCCTTACTGAGCACAGTATCTGCTTCGTTAATTTGAGCTACATAAATGCCCATTTGTTTAAAGACAGACAAAAGAAATCAATACCCCTCCCTACATTAATCTCTCACCTAAGGAGAGGGTTCTCTTTGCCCTCGGGACAGCATCACCTGTGCCCCTCAAAGGAACTCACCTTCTACCCGGGGAGCTTCCCTTCCAGCTACTTAAAGCGAGTAGCCCCTGACAGGGAAGGCAGCCATGGCCTCTCCCCGCCGCTCGCTCTTGGCAGCCTGGCCTACTGAGAGACTAGGGCCACAGTCCTGGCGTCACACTCTTCAGGAGAACGCCTACACAAGGTTGTTTTGTGAAAGGCTTAAATCCCCCCTGTAAACTGTGACACAGTCCCAGAGCTTCTGAGATAAGATAAGCAGCTGCATTTAGCTTCCTCTGCACCATTGGTGATAAAGCCAAGGCTGATCAGAGAGCACATTCAGAACTGTGGTCCCTGAAGGCCTGCTGGCTCAATTAAGAAACCTGCTGAGTAAACTTGCTCCATTTCTCACTCTCCCTTTAACTACTTCGTTTCAACGATAGCCTCTCCCTCTTTGAAAAAAAGGACACATCATTTAGTTCAGGCAGAAGACTGGGAATTCGGTAAACTAGAATTTAATCTCGTAGCTCTTCAACCCTGTGTGCACAAGAATAACTTGGGAAGTTTATTCAAATTCAAGGTTTATTATCCTGAGTCCCAATCCCACAATTCTGGTTCTTCAGGTCAAGGTAAGGCCTGGGAATTTGCTTTTCAAACAAGCGCTCCGTGTGATTTTGATGCAGAGGTGGTCCAGATCACACATGGAAATCACGTGGCTCTTCTATCTAGTGGCTGTGTGACTGAGCAAATCCCTCGACCTATACACCTTACTTTTGAAGTTTAATAATAATCCCTGAATGTCACGGTTTTGCTCTGATGTCCAACTGAGATGATGCCGAGGAAAGCAGGCTGGCAGAGGGTGTGCACTGCACAGGGGTCACCTCAGATGACCTGTCCCACACCTCCCATACTGTCCTCCAGCTCGGGGCTAGGACATACCACTCATCTCTTCAGAGCCAGTCTCCTGGCCCATAAACAGGGATGGCACTGCTTGGTCACACCAACGTCCCGGACACACTGACTACACAGGCTCTTCTGGCCCACAGAGCCACAGAGAAGAGGATTCTTTGCAGGACGTCTAGGAATAGCAAACTCTATATTTCAATAGCTTCAACAAAGGGGCTGAGCTCCCTCTAAATTTTTAGTCTAATTCTAAATTGACTGAAACACTGGCTATGAGTTACAGTCCTTGATAAAAAAATTGCTCATTTTCAGCTTGGGTTTGGGTGGCCCATTAAAACTAAAAGCAAAACACAATACTAACAAATTCATTTGTCAAATCTGCTCTTATAACTCGCCGTTCACGTCTGTGTAACAGCTATGATTTGGTTTCCAGGAGGCCCTTTGAACTGAATATATAGCACCTTGATTTTTAAACACACAAAACATATATGCATTTAAAAAATTATACATAAAAGCACTAGGCTTTGCCTCCTCCTCTCCATCCCCCCAAGTAAGGGATTGGAGAGGACTGAAGCTGCTGCTGGAAATTAAGTAGGGCAATGAAACACTTTAGCGAACTTTATTCCCTGAAGTTAGGAGGCGGCGCTGCCCTGCAGACATCATACCACCTCGTCAGACTCCAGTCCGTGGACCTCATATAAAGTGTCCAGTATCGCCAGCTGCTTTTCCATGGCGGGGAGGTAAAGGCTGAGGTCCCTCTGCATCCCAACACTGAAAGCTGCTTTCTGGTGGTCGCCTTCCTTAATGGTTAATGCAGCCACAAAATCTTCATAGGACGGAGCTGCCCTCAGAGCTAACTGCAAAAGAATTGCCCGTGAGAAGCTGCACCACGGCTCGCTCTCTTGCACATTATACTCATGCACAAGCGCATGCGTGCACACACACTCACACACATACAGAGCTGAGGGGAGCAAGAGTGGAAAAAAAAAGGCATACAGCCTTTCAGCTCATGGACTCTAAAATTACGTTTCAAGCACCAAATCACTTTAAGGCTAGAAGAAGCAAGTATGTTCCTGGGCCATCTTCAGGATGCAAAATCCCATCAAGTCAGGGAATGCTGAGAGAAAAACAGTTTGAGAAAAGCTCCCTTCTCATTCACAGTGATCCAGCCCCTTCCGGTTGAGCGCTCAGGATGACCTGCATGCGTGCTGCTACCACAGTCTTTGTCTGCACGTGGCCAGCCTGGCAGGGCGCCTCACCATCCTATTTGTATCTCATCTCCACGTACTTTCTTTGCGTGTCTCCTATTTCCCCCTACATGGATATTTCCTTTGTAGTCTTGAATATTTTCTAAAAAGGAAGGGGGTTAACATTTGTTGCCTGCTTGTACACTGATGCTTTAACGTATTTTATCCCAGTTAATCTTTGTAAGAACCCTGTACAATTTACATTCCTATTTGACAGAGAGACATCACACAGCTAGTGAGCGCCAGGGCCGGGATCTGAACTTAGAATCGTCTCTATGCTTTTTCAACTACACCACCAACCACACTGCTTCCCTGATGGAAGATTTCCTAAGCTCCTTATAGCTCCCCTCCCTTTGCAGGCCAACTGTTCCCTAAGCTTGCTAAAATCTGCTATCTGGCACCTACTGGTTTGGCTCCGCTGAGTTCTCTGGAGACTTTTTGGAATCTTGAATAATCATTCTGCAGTTGCTTCCTTGAGCTTCCTTATATTGAAAGTCTTTTGAGAATCAACCCTCTCCTTTTTTGCAACTGGAAAGTGACCGGCATTATGCAGTGGTTAAAGCACAGGCGTGGGTGAGGAGACCTGGACTTGAATCCCCAATCTTTTACATATTAGCTTGAGGAATTTAAGCAAGGTGATTAAACTCCTAGAACCTCAGTTTCCTCATCTATAGAAGATGACTGATAGCACTTTCCTTACTTGAGGGATTAATGGGACATGTAGGATGTGTTTATTCTACTGCCTGGCACATAATGAATACTCAAATAATGACAGGGGTACAGGGAGAGCAGAGAATGAGGGGAAGGCAACTGTCCAAAAATATAATGTGAGAAAGTCTCCCAGAACTGAAGGATATGAGTCTCCAGATTTAAAGACCTATCCAAGTGCTCAGCAGAATGAATGATAAAGACCAAAAGGAGAACACGGTGAAATTTTAGAATGTGGGCATAAAGAACAGATCCTAAAAGCATCTAGAAGGAGGTGAGGAACAGTTTATACACAGTGGCACATTAGATTTTACAACAGTAACACTGGAAGCTGGAGGACATCAGAGGAATGCCTTCAGAGTACTGAGAGAAAATTACTATTAACCTAGAATTCTACACCAGCCAAAGCAACACTCTAGGAAGAAAGGGGCAGAATAAAGATAGTTCCAGGAACTCAAAAATTTACCTCCCTTGCACCCTTTCTTAGGAAGTTACTAGAGTTTGGATACCATCAAAAAAAGGGATTGGATCAAGAAATAGGAAGTCATAGGACTTGGGAAATGGAATTAGGGTGAGGTGGGGATGCAATATAGGAAAACCTGTGAAGAAAAGTCCTAGGGCAATAGCAGTACAACAATTTAGACTGGAAGAAGAGTTTAGAAAGTGCTGGAAGGGCACACTCCAAGAAAAAAAATACAGGTAATCTGATACATTCGTGAGTTCAGAATGATGGTGATCTGAGAAATCTGATGGTACGGGGAAAAATGTAAACCTCATGTAAGAAAGAACGAAAAAAATCACAGAATTCTGGCTCATCATCATAATGTTACCTTGTGATATAATTATATAGGGAAGGTGGAGGCAGGGGAGGTGAGGTAGTGACAGTAAGGTCTAAGAGAGCTAATTTCTAACCTATAACAGAAATCAACAGTGATTAACACTGGTAAGTCCACAAAGAACAGTAAATAGTTTTAGAATTACAGAGGTATTGGAAGAAACAGTCAAAGCAGTTGAAAGTGGCAGCCTCTTTTAGTGAGCCTGAGAAGTATGGAACAAACTGCTATTTTTTTGTTATAACCTTTTTGGACTCTGTGATTAAAAAACAAAACAAAACTCTGTGTATATATATTTAAGTAAAAGAAAAAATTTTTAAAGTTTCTCCAGAGTGGAACCCAGGACTACAGATCTCTCAAAGACGCCTAGTGGACTGTAATGCAGCCGAGTCTATCTGGGAAACAATAACAGAACTCAACTGAAGATGAAGCCAAAACGGAGCCACAGAAAGAGGCAGAGCCTAGACTGGCCATCAGTTCCACAGACGGTAACTGTTTGAAGATAAAAGTTCACTCTTTGTCTGGTAAATAAGTCAAATTCCTTGAGCGTAAAAGCCATTTCCCTGAGCAACCAGGATTAGTTAAATGAATTTGCCCCTGATAAGTTTAATTAGCACATTAGAAAACTCAATAAACTTTCCAAAGTAGGGATGACTTAGAGAATAACAGGAGAGACACTGAAAGGTAGCTCCTCTATTGAAAAGGCTGTTGCCAAATGCTCAACATAATCTATTTTCTTAAAAACCAGCAACTTGAAAAACTATTGGCAATAATATCAAGGCTTCAAAATGTTCTTACTCTGTAACTTTGGGTGTATTACCTCACCTCTATGTGTTTCCGGTTTCTTTGTCTATGAGCAGGGAAAATAAGAGAACCTACCTCAGAGTTATGAGATTAATAACTTTATGTAAGTAAAGCACTTAAAACAACATCTAGTGCATGGTAAGTGCTCCAATTCTAAGTTGTGGCTGTAGTTTCTTGGTATTAGACATAGCAATTCTACTTCTAGGAACGTATTTTGAGGAAATAACAGTTTTAGTCAAAAATGCATAAAAACAGATGCTGTTCTGTCTGTAAAAACAAATTTAGAAGCAGCTGAAATTTCCAACACAGAGATTTGGGCAAATACATTATGGTACCTCCATACTAGGGAAATATTATGCAGTCCCTAAAAATAAGTGGGGAAGACTACGGCTAACACTCCTGTTGGATACACAGCAAACTTGTTCCAAGAGTAAATTCTAAGAGTTCACATCACAAGGAGAAAAATTTTTTCCTTTCTTTTTTTTGAATTGTATCTATATGAGAAGATGGATGTTAGCTGAAGCTATTGTGGTAAGCATTTCACAATGCATGTAAATCAAACCATCATGCTGTGCACCTTAAACATACAGTAATGCCTGTCAATTATTTCTTAATAAAACTAGAAAATATAAAAAATTAAAAAGTGGAGAAAAAGAATACAAAATTATACAACCAGCTAAACGTCAAAAAAATTTATATGTATATACAGAGTAGGTATACAAAATAAAGGTAATTATACACATAAAATAAACATGTAAATATAAAAATATAAGTATCTATAAGTAGATATTTATATAAATATATGAAATGAAATAGAACCATATTGAAGAGAATATGTAAAAGTATATGAAAATAAGAGCTAAGAAGGTAAAACACAAAAATGTTAAAAATCCTTATTATAGAGTGGTGAGATTATGGACAATTTTAATTTTTACCCTTTCTATTCTTCCATAATTAAAAAAAAATTTTTTTTTACAATGAGTCTAAATTACTATATATTGGGAAAAATCCTGTGAGTTAAAATGTTCTTTTAAAGACTCATGCTTATGATAAATTTTGTGCTGTAGCTTCATTCTTGTTGGCAACATCTCGGATCATCAATAATATTTCAGGATTAAACTCTGCCCTCTATACTGGAAAAATAAAACAACCCCAAACCACATTTATGTTTCTTATAAATGGTGCAGCTCAGTGTTTTTATGCTCTGTCCCCTCACCAAGGGAACTCGGGAACTCAGTGTTTTTATGCTCTGTCCCCTCACCAAGGGAACTCGGGAACTCAGTGTTTTTATGCTCTGTCCCCTCACCAAGGTACCTGTAGGCAATCACAGTATTTACTCAGGGAGACTGATGAATGCAGCAGCATCCTTTGCCTAGTTTCTCACTAGCAGTTTCTCATTTATTCTGTCTTCACTGTGGAGAGCTGTGATGTGTGGGATGAGCACCAGCCTCGGAGACAGCAGATCTGGGTTTAGACCTGGACTCTGCCACTGCCTCACTCTGGGACTGGAACAAACAGTTCTGAACTTGTAAAATAGTGGGAGTTAATCCTGAGGATTACCAAAGATAGTGAACACAGAAGTACCGGGCACAGTGCCTGATACACAGTAAGTGTCCAACAGCCAAATGGTAACTATTATTATGTGATTAAACATGTACTGAAGGTAAGTGTGAGCAGTCAGTGGCTGCAACTGGTCTGGCTCCTATTCCAGTGAACAGTAGGACATAGAGCTAGTCATCTCTAGGCTTTCAAAAATGTTTCATTTTCACTAAAATTTGATTTCTTCCATGGTAAATTCTTCCCACTTTCTTTACCTGCCTCCTAGTAAATCATGACCTGAACAGTTCTCACCTTAGGCAAATGATGTCTCCCATGCTCTAAATTAGTAAAAGACCATCATCTGCAAGGGTACTTTTAATCCCCCGACCTTCCAAACAACACTCATATTCTATGACATTTCCTACTGTACCACTACATGAGACTCCGCCTTTTCATGGCTGCACCTGACTAAGGCTGACCTCTCCCCAGATGCGAGAATAACAGAGTATTACTGCTGACATAAAGGGGCCATCTTCTCCTTCTATTTTACAAAGCAGGCTAAGTGATTTGTCCGGGGGACTATGATTCTCAGGTGTGTGCTCTTCCTAGGTCACGCAAGGAAGGAAGGAGCGGTAGCTAACAGGAGCCCAAACATATGAATACAAACACCTCCATAAAGAAAATAACTGGGTAAGAAGATATTTCTAGTCCTAGCCACTGGCAATCCAGGTCAGTTAATATTCAAGACAAAATTCAATTTAGGGGAAAAAAACCTGACTAAAATCTGAGAATTAACAGGATTGACTTTAACAGGCAGCAGAGGGAGCTATGGGCTTGAAACCACCACTGGTTTCCCCTCAATGGTGAACATTTGACAGCTTCCGGCCTATCTCTACACTGACACTCTTTACTACCACATCGGAAGGCAACCACTTCTGAGACAAATCTTCTCAGGGTCACTGGAACTAGATAAGGTGAAGCACATTCTAATAGTCTTTTCTTACTTTTTATTGCCAACATTTCCATACAACAAAGACCTATAGACTTAAGTGAAATAAGCAATATTTCGTTCTTATTCTCAAAAACAAACAGAAACACCACACACACAAAGCAAAACAAAACACCTTGCTGTGACCATCAGAACATTAGGAGGCAGAAGGATTACTTACCGCAAAAACCCCTCGAACTACCCAGCCATGGTGTTGCCGTAATGTTTTACCATATGCATTATCTTGAAAAGAAGAAAAACTCCATGAGGAACAATTTCATCAGAATTTGATGTGCTATTTGTATCATGTCCTTTCTAATGTATGTAGTAGCACATTCCTATTGGTATTAGAAACTGATTAAAAAAAAGCTGAATTATGAGACTATGTACCCCAAAAGTCTTGAGTAGGAAAAATGCCTACAGAGATTATTTTTTAAAGAAAAATTGGTATTTCCACTCTTACCCTCTGTCATATCTCAACTTCAGCTTATTATCATGGTTGGAAAATTCAATACATATAAGGAAGTAAAGAGGGAGGAAAAGATACTGTAATATAGAAACTAAATACAATTTAAAATACACTATAAAAATATAAAAATGCAGTTCTTTGAAATGTTGTGTGATCCTGAGCCAGTCCCTTAGCTGACCTCTCTAACCATCTGTTTCCCTCTTTGTAAAATGAACTCTAAGGTTCTCTTCAATTCTAACATTCTATTCTGGGATGTCAAATGCTTGTCCTAGATGTCCCTATGACCCTGGATATACAGTTTTAAAGCTAGAAACCTTTAAAACTATTATGGAAAGAACAGCTTGAAGTTATTAAGGTAGGTATAAAGTAAATGGTGAGGCCTATTGATAAAAGTCATTCACATTCTAGACTTTAAAGATAAAAACCTATTATTTTTGTCCCAGTGAGTTTTTTAAAAGGAGATTTAAAAACTGCTATATAATAATTTTAATTACCAAAAAAAAATCTCGAGAACAAGATGACTGTATTTTATGCAAGGGATGTGTTCCTGAAGGCTTTGAATAATTCAATATATGCAAAATTCAAAACTGATTTTTCCACAGGAATAAATGCGCTCTCAGGAGGGCACAGCTCTACATCACCACAGTGCATTTTTATTTCAATGCTCCATTTTATTTTCTCAGCATCATCTCCAGTGGTCTACAGAGTCCTCACACTCCTAAATTACAGCACAGAGTATCACAGGGGTTGTTTGACCTTCTTTATCATGTTTTACCACATCTAAATTTTATTCCAAACTTATTTATTTTCATGGGCTAGTTTCAACACTAGTACAAGCACCACCATCAACCATTTAATCAATGCTTGGGCGACACTGTAATAGGATATAAAGACATTTTAAATTATAACAAGAGCAGATGTTAAAATAACAAAAAAAAAAGACACCAAATCCACAACCACAGGCTCCTATGCAGTAAAAAGCAGTGTGGTTCACAGAATACTGCCAAAGAACATCAGGTATTTGCATTTTACTGGGCAAAACAGCACTGCCACGTGGCTGTAGCTTGAACACTTTACAATTTATTCAAGCTCTCTAGCTTTGAAATGATGTAATTCTTGTCAATTTCTATTTTTAAAATTTGGGTGAGGCTTTATTAATACTTTTAGCATACCATGTATCAATTTTACATAATTCAAGTTTGCATAAAATACATTATATTTTGTATAAAAGAAGACTGTACGTTTGAATTCTAACAGCAGATTTCGCTGGCTATCCGAAGTTTTAGGAATGGGTTGAAATGCCAGCATCCAGTGTGGTGAAGCGAAAGCAGAAATGATAAAAGTCAATCAATTCAAGGGCACAAAGGGCTCTTAGAAAGAGCCTAAAGGAGAACTCAAGATTAAATTCAATCTTTCTCTTAGCAGGACAGTCTGTAGGCTAAGACAGTGTCAAAGATACAAGTCTTCAATGTAAGCCACACTTAAAACCTATCTGATTCTCTAAGGGGACAGATGTTATCAGGGACATTTTAGAGGGTATCTAAGACCTTAGTGAAGAAAGGGTTGCTAGCATATAGGTGCAGATGGGCAGGAAATACTAGGCACAGCCTCTGCAGTAAATCAGTAAGACAGTCAAATTTCTAACCGTCTAAGGAGCCATCTGGGCTGGTAAGAAGGTGTACAGTCCATGGAAAACATCCTGAGGTGAGTCACAGAGGTATAGTGGGAACACTTTCTTTCTTGTGATCCTAATCCATGTAAGGTATTAAATGCCATTAAACATCAGTAGATGAAATGTAGTGCCATTACAATCTGCTCGTAGACATCTGTGATGGAACAGCTGCTCCATTCAGCAAGAATTTAGTGCGAGTCTGCCACTGCCCCTTACTAAGTGCAAGGCAGCAGGGATCACTGGGTGATTTAAACTCAGTCCCTTGCCCTCAGGAAGTTCATGGGTTTATAAGAGAGCCAGCCTTTAACAAATCATCGTTATGCAAATTGCCTACTGCTATAACAGAGATCTCTATCCAGTGCTACAGGAAAAGAAAGAGAGATGAATCCAGCCTGGGAGCAAGGGCACAGAAAGAATTCTCCAAAGGAGTCTCAAAGGCTGGGTAGGGCAGAGAGTAGGGTGGTACCTGGGGCTGCAGACAGAGAAAGCTACATGGAGTTGTGAGAGATGGTGGCATGAAGGGGGAACAGTCCAGTAGGGCTGCAGATCACTGGGGCTGGGGCCAAACCGTGAGGGCCTTTTTTATGCCGTGTCAAGGATTCTAAACTTGCCACCTGAGGCACAGTGGTAGTTTAAAATAACACTTACTGCTTTTTTTCTGATTTCACAAATAATGTTCAGGAAAATGCAAAAAGGGAATAACTAAAGAAACCTATAATCATGCCTCCCAGAGGTAACCACAGAGGGCATTCTGGAGGTATATTCTCTTAAGTCTTTTTTCCTATACAGACAGTATTATTTTCTTCTACTAACAGTCACCATCATTCTGATTTGGAATTGTGGTAGGGAAGTAAAAGGAGATCAGTATTTCTTTACGGTATGCAGCAAATGCAGCTGACCACTGTCCTGGTCCCTGAGCCTTCGGCTCCAGAGTTCACCTGGCAGACAAACTGCCTGTTTATAAGGGCTCTGGATCCAGTGCTACTCCAACCTCAGGGGCCTTATACCTTTCCTACACTTTGCCTGTGAAGTCAACCACTCAAAAAAGCCCAGAAACCCTTCTCCATGCTCCCTTCTATGGGACAGGAAGAAAACAAGGATGCTGTGAGTCCAAGTAAGAGGAGCAGCCTGGTCTAAGGAAGGGAGAGTGTTTGTACAGCAACACGATCTGTGTCTCCCCCCAGCCCTTCTAGAGAAGGCGGTTGTTCCTTGCTGTGCCTGCATCTTGCCAGAGAAGAGTCCCACTGGGCAAAATGTGGGCCAGTAAGTCTAATGGGAGAAGAGGGAGGCAGAGAATTTAGGCTAGGTCCTGACTCAGGCCTAGGAAGACCACCTCCACAATTGAAAACCAACAAAAAAAATAAAACTCATAAATGAAAAGGACTTGCCCCAAGTCTTTAGCTGACTTCGAGGGCTGCAAATATCCCTGCCATGTGAGGCTGCATTAAATTAGGATGAAGTCTAAGCATTGACCTATTTTGGTTACCCAGAGAAGATTAGATAATGAAATACATTAATCTTCACTATAATACCCATTCATTATCATGATGCATGTTCTATAATCTGGAAGTATTTTTGGCCTCTGAAAGACATAAATGATTCCCTTCTCCCAGTTCTCTGAAATCTGTCAGTTCCTTAGAAACTGAGTCAAAATTTCTAAGTAGGAAGTGTTGACAATCACCTTGCCCAATTCTCTTCCTCTTACAGATGAAAAAATAGAAGACCCAGAGAGAGAGTTACCTGTCTAAGGTCACAAAGCTAAAAGCAATGAGAACTTGGGGCATTCTTGTCACATTAAACCATTTTGACAAAACTAATGTTTATTCTTTGTGATAAAACAAAATAATGAAAATGAAAAACGTGCCTTTTCCCAGCCATATCTTGAAAAAATTGGAACCTTATTCTATTCATAAAGATGCAGATTTGACTTCTTTAATGGTTAGTCAAAAACTTTCTATGAGGTATTTAGAGATTATGCCTCAGCCTATCATAGCATCTGAACAAGAACTACCTTTCCATTACTGTTGGTGGATAGCTATTCTGTCCAGGAACAGAATATATGAGAGTGTTTCTCTATTGTAAATCTATAATTAGTGAGAATTTGCAAAGTTACTTTGGGTTGTAGAGAGGGCAAAGGAGAAATGCAAATCTAAGTCTTAGGAGACAGCTTGAGAAGTAGACAAGCAAAGCCAGAAAAGGTGAAATCAATCATTCACTGAGCTCAGGAAGTGACAATCATCTCAGCTCTGCAAATGAGCTAAACTAGGAAGTCCTTAGGCAAGAATCACGAACAAAGAAAGGTTTGAAAGTAAATAAGCAGTGAATAAATCTGAAAATACTGAGTGAAAAAGGAAGAATGTGTATAATGTGACACCATGTACATGAGTTTAAAACATGCAATACATTACTAGATACTGTTTGTGGACACATAAATATATAGTAAAAGTATAAAAACATTCATTATATAACGATAAACTACAAATTCTGGATGAAGATCTTCTCTGGAAGTAATGGGGTTATGAGGTAGTAGATGGTACTGTATTTACATATTTGGTCGAATGATAAATATTTGATATAATTTAAAAAAACCTACTACTAGGAAAGTACCCCCAAGTTCTTTACAGTGACTAAGCTTTGGGCAAAATGAATTGTATGGAGAAAAGCCAACTCAATAACCAGTTGACAGAGATGGAACAAGTACCCAGAGATATCCTTTGTTACCTTCAGGCACCATCGAGAAGAAAACTTGTACTGTAAGCCAATTCTGCCATTAGAAGCACATGCTGTTAACAGTTCTGGAAAGGGCATGACTTGATTCACATTCCCTGGTACTTTCAGAATAATTAGTCAAGTTATGGTTTGATGTCAAATATCTGATTATGAGTTCTAACTTCATCTCTCTCATATAGCTCTCCTTGTTTGTGAAAGCCTTTCATATTAAATGCGTAAGTGAGCCTCCTCTACCTTTTTTTTTTCTCCTATTCTGTGCTCCAGATCTTGGTTAGGTTAATGTTTACCTGACATTTACGGAATCATTCCGAGGTGAGGGATGTGGCAATATGCTATCCCACTGAGGGAATAGTGCAGAACACATAATATTTAGTACAATGGTGCATGAAATGGCAGAGCAACTTTTCTTCATTTCACCTACAAAGATGCTTTCCAAAGCCTCTTCTTGATGTGGCATCTGTGAATGGAGGGGCTCAGCTACAGGGTGGACCATTAAACACACTTGCCTTGTGTACCCAACTCTTTCCTTAGAGTGATCTCTAGAGAATGTCAGAGGACACTAGAGTTCAGAGCAGCTCTTGGCATGAGACCACCCAAAATATTCCACTCTGATCATCATTATGGGGAATTCAGGTGATGGCTCAAAGGCAAAAGGGGGCAGTATAAAGCCCAAGGCCTCCTTCCGATTGCTGAAAACTCATTCTAGGTCACAGAACTGCAGCAATACAATGACTATACATGCATTTTCCAGAGAGTTAATAGATGTCAAGGCTTCCGTTGTGTCATTTAGGACTGTTACATATCATCTCCCATTTTCAAAGCCACTAAGACTATCCAAAATTATGAGCAGTTACCTCAAAACCTTTCTTAAGCAGTGTTTTCAAATTTGGGAGTGTCATCCAAGGTTTATCCTTATTTTATCCCTACTAATTGTCTTGCTGTTCCTAGGTTAAGAAAAGTTTTCAGCCATTGGGTAACCAGCCAATTATCATGAAAAGGAGGCAAAATTAACTGATGCTATGGGTAACTAATTTCAGTACTTTTATTCCTGCTTATTTAATAATCACTTAGATGCAGTCAAAATTCCCAAATAACCAAATGTAGCCTAGTGACAGGTGAGCTTCAACATCTCAGCTCTAGATGAATGGGTCTCACACTTGAGCATGGATTAGAATCACTTGCATGACTTGTGAACACACGCATTTGCTGGGCCCCACCTCGGGAGTTTCTGAGTCAGCAGGTGTCAGGTGGGACCCAGTAGTCTGCATTTCTAATAAGTCTCCAGGTGATGAAGATGTTGCTGTCCTTGGACCACTCTGAGAACCACTGATCTAGATCTGAGACCCTAGGGAAAGTACTTATCCTCTCTAAACCTCAGTTTACTTGCTGGGAGTACTCAGAAGATTAAATAAAATGTTTATGGAGAACCTAGTGTTATGCCAACACTGGGTGCTCTATAAATGGTAGCTGTTATTACAATAACTCAAATTCAATTTCAGAATAAAAAATGCAAGCTAATTTGCCTATATGTGGCATATAAATTGCACATACCCGCTCTTTTACTTACATACCTAAACTATCTCATTTTAGACAAAATATCAGTTCTGCTTATAAAGCCTGTGATTTCAAAATGAGAAAAAAGAAGCCAGCAATCCAGAAGAAATAGGCAACAAGCAGCCTGTGGGTTCTGCATAGTTAATGTGTAAACATTTCTCATAAATCTCTCTTATTTGCTTGCACAGAACTTGTTGTGTCTGTGTTTAGAGGGAAGGGGGCTGGTTAGGGGAGCTTTCTCTCTCCACATTGCACAGCAGCAGGAAACTAGGGATCCCGGTAAGCAAAGGTGATTTAAATCATGAAGACCTCTGAAATAATCCTGAGCATCAAGGATGAAAATCTCAAATGTATGGTCCCTTTTCCTTTCCACTGAAAACAGTCCGGCGGGGAAGAAAAGGAAGGAAAAGCTGAGATTGGCTGTGATTATTTCAGTTTTGAAGCAGCATTTGCCCTTCAAGTCTCCTCTCTCTTCATAAAGTCAACATCTCTAGGCCCAGCTTTCAAACCAAGTAAAAGATAGGGGAGGAAAGGGGGCAGAATTAGGGATGGGGGCAGGGAAGAAAGGGTATATCCTCAACTGTCTCTCCACCTCCAAGGGGCAAAGCTTTTCTTTTCACTTGCTGTGTCCGGTAAGCAGCTGGGTTCTCCTCTATCCCAGCTCCAGCAGAGGGGTAATGAGATTAGCATTCCCCACTTGCCCTCACACAGCCAGCCATCAGAAAGCAGTAGCATCCTGTGACGTGTGGAGTCCACCACGCACACAGTGCTGAATCCCATATCTTCTGCATTTCCTGCAGGTGGTGGAGTCTTCCTACCAGTGTGAAACTTCCATACTAAGAAGTCAGTCTGGAGAGAAATTTCAGGCTTGGCAGCTGAGCTTGGTTACTTTCCATTTGTGATTTGGGACAAATAAGTCCCATTTTCTGGTAGGTTATCAACTTTGTATATGTCATGATGATGAGAATATAAACAACAATAGAAGCTAACCTCTATTAAGTGCTTATTATGTACCAAATTTCTAATCTTTTCACATGCATAAAACTATTTAATCTTTACAACAATCTTATTAGGGAAATCAAGTCATCATTCCCATTTTACAGATGAGGAAACTGAGGCACACAAAGGTTAAGTAAATTGCCTAAGGGCACCTATCCAGAAAGCCCATGATCTTAATCACTCCACAAAGTCATCAAGTTTGATAGAGACTGGTTAGGGAGTCCTAATAGTCATGGTGAATATATTTTTAATACTGAAATCAGGACACTTAGGGGAGGATATAACTGAGACAGTCCTGGAAATTCAAGGATGTATGAGAAACCCCAAAATGCAGGTAGCTCAGGGATGGTGGAGAAGACCTTCTGTGGGAGAAATGAGGACCTTACAGCTGAGGATCCCAAAATGACCCTGCTTCAGATCCTCTGTGGTCTTAGCGTGTCTTTTGATCTTTCAGAATTTCAGTTACCTAACCTGTAAAAATGGACTGATGTGAGGACTAGGTTGTCTAAATTTTTTATACAGTGTTGCAGAAATATCAGCTTTTATTGTTTCATGGCACATCAGCAAGTTTCTATACAGGGAGGCCTGGGAAAATCACACAGGGGCAGGATCCCTCAAGATTCATGACCCAAAGGGAGGACTAACAAAAGGAAGAACTCACCCCTGACATTGATAAAATGCTGTGTGAACACTGGCTCCTCCTCCCCAGCAGAAGTATCTAACTCATTCATTTCATTATTTATAATGATGACTGCCTAGAGCCTGACCATGTGCTTCTCTACATCATAATAATACAGGGCTTCAAAGTAATATGGAAATCTCACTCCCATCTGCTCACCTCAATGCCCATCCTGGAAGGATTTCCTAGAGACCAAGATTGAGAGTTTAGCCAGTCTGTTAGTGGCACTATGAGGATGCTTCCAAGTCTTCAATGTTTTCCAAAAGTGGTCCGATAGGTGCATTGATCCATCCATCTATCCACCCACCCACCCAATGTTTATTAAGTACCTACAATGTTCCAGTCACTGCATCAAGATGCTGGAGATGTCGGACGATCTCCTTTGACCAAGGCCTTCATCCGAGTCTCAACTACCACCACAAAAATGGGGCACATAGGGCACTTGAGGAATACAAGATGATGACCAGCCCTTCATCTTACTTCAGAGCAAATCCTAGGGTTCCCCACACCCTCCCTTTCATGGTCTCCAAAACTAGCTTCCCTCTGGATACAGATTTTAGAAAACTACACAGTTATCTCAAGATTCATTTAGGAAGAACTGACTTCTTAAAAATATTAGGTTTTCCTATTAAGATTAAAAGATGGCTCTCTATTAATTTAGCTCTTCTTTAAGAGATACTGATTTTTAATAAGTTAGATCTAGACTACCAGGTCACTGTCTCGAGTTCTTTTTTAACAAAGCATATAAGAAACAATTAATAATAATGAAATAGAAAAATACCAAAATCAGATCTTGAAAAGCACACCCTATCTCCTCTTCCAGGGGTCTCCATTCCACATCCTATTCAATTAATCAACCAAAATGTAAATAACACTTACTCAGGGCTGTCTGGATGTCCTTTTCTCCATTTTTCACTTCTGTCAAAAATCCCTTCAAAAATTTGAGACCTCTAAAACAAAAAAGAGGAAGAAATATTATTTTCAAAGTTCACTTATGTTGAATGGGTATGAATAAATGGCAGACATCAGCTTCTTTTTCAGTAGTATCTTGGGCACAGCAATAAACAAGTCAAGTCACATGGCAGTCCTTTCTAAGTCTCTTCCCTGTGATTTCCCTTTAGCTTGCTCTAGACGCTTCTTATCTGAAATACCTACACAGTGGTTTTCAAAATGTGGTCCCAGGACCAGCAGCTTCAGCATCACCTGGGAACTTGTTAGAAATGCAAATTCTGGAGCTCCCCTCCAGACTTACTGAATCAGAAATTGGGTTTTGGGTGGAGCAATCTGTGTTTTTTAATAAGCCCTCCAGGTGAATCTGATGCCAGTGCAGTTTGTGATCCACTGACTTAAAGACAAACCAATCGGCTTTACTGTCCTTTATGATTCCCATCTTATATATTCTATTAATATTAACAATGTTTATCACTATCAAGACAGAGGCAAAAAAAAGTCGATATTCTATTCTTCAGGCCTTCTAGAAAAGGCTATACATGGGTTACAGCTTTCACTCAGAAGCAGCCTCTTTTGCATAACAATTTTTTTTGGTAGGGGTAACATTTCAACTAAGCTGGATTTCAACTGCTGCCCCACCCCAGTTGCCTCACCTCTTCAGCCACAGGAGGGCTTCTGTAGCTGAGTTCCTAACCTGGGCTACGTCGGCCTCCACTTCGTGCAGCACTATTTTCTGCAGTGTGGTAAACTCCTCTTTGTTGGTTATATACTTCTGATTTACTTTCTGCAGGAGAAGCAGGGAAATAACCTAAGTTAAAAGTGCTAAGGCTATCAAGCAAGTCAGTTTACTGTTGAGACCTAAGTTTGTCAACCAGGCCTCTAAGAAATCAAAATGAATTAAGCCTCTCTTACCTTCGTCCTTATGCTTTCCAAGTAATCTGTTTTATTTGTTTGAGGATTCTTGTTAGGCTTAGGCTAGAATTAAATAGTTTTAGGGTTTTAAAGTACTGTTTTTAAAGTATTTTTTCCTCTGAGAAAGGTTCTTACAGCTGGCCTATACTTTTCATCCCGAGTATAAAACTCAACAATCATTTGTTTCTGAATGAGATTTCATGCAACTACTCCCTCCAAATATACAGTCTCCACGGAGACAAGCCAGTATATTCACCTTAATATTTCCAACTAGATCCATTTTAACAGGAGCAAACACTGTAGGGCCAAGTTTGTCTAGAAGAAAAGATTGAAAACATCTTTGAAAAAGCAATTTTTTCAAGTGGAAAATATTTTTTATAGTAGCAATGAATTTAACAGGTCCCCCCCACCCCCCGCCAAACTTTTATTTTTTGCTTTTAAATCATTTTCTAAACATAAGCTTCAAAGGTTCCTGCCACACTGTCATTGCTTTTTTCTACTTCACTGCTCTGAAGTGAATAACTATAATAAGGGCCTAAGGGCAGGTGAGGATAACCTTATAAGTTTAGAATGCGCATTGTAATCCTTAGGGCTGCACTGTCCAATACGGTAGCCAGTAGATGTGTGGCTATTGAGCCCTTGGAATGTACCGATTCCAAACTGAAATATGCCGTAAGTATAAATATATACCAGATTTCAAAGACTTAGTACCAAAAAAAGAATGCCAAATATCTCAGTAATGATTCTTTTATATTGATTCCATGTTCAGATGATATATTGTATATACCAAGTTAGATAAAATACATTATTAAAATTAGTTTTATCTGTTTAGCTTTACAATTTTAATATTCTTGCCAGAAAATTTAAAATTATATATGTAGTCTGAATATTTTTGTTGGATAAGAGCAACTAAAAATAGTAACACAAAGGGGTATAGCCAAAAAGCCAAAAGAGAAAATATAATAAAATTCTAAAAAATACTTGACTCATCCAAAAGAAAGGCAGGAACAAAGATAGGTAGCTAAAAAGCTAAAAGAGGAAATAAAACAGAATACAAAAAAATAATTGATTAATTGGGTGGAAATCAAGAAAGGAGTAAACAAGGAAGAACACACGAGACAAACAGACAATGAGTAGCAAGATGGTAGAAACAGACAGCAAGATAGCAGGCTTAAATTCATCCAAACAATGTAATTTATTACATTGAATACAAGAAAAAAACATGATAATTTCAATAAACACAGAAAAATATATTTTATAAATTAACTCATTCATGATTGTAAAAAACAACTCAATGTAGAAGTCAATTGTATCTATATGCTATTAATAAACAACTGGAAAATGAAATACTTTTCATGATAGCATAAAAAAACATAAAATTCTAAAAGTTATTCCTAACAAAAGATGTGTAAGACCTTTACACGATACAAAATGTTGTGAAAATAAAGAAGACCTAAGTAAATGAGAGATACAGCACATTCATGGATTAGAAGACTCAATGTTGTTTAAGATGTCAATTTCCTACTAACTGGTTTACAGATTCAATGTAATCCTAATCAAGATCCCAACAGGATTTTTTTTTTTAAAGAAATAGTAAGAAAATCATATATGTTTATTGAAAGGTTTTCAAGATTCATTACTTCAAAAAAAAATCACAATGGGACACATAGAATAAGCTCTCTTTTGTGTCTTATATAATACAGTATGTCTTATTCAGAAATGCCTCTATCTATTCAAAAAAATCAGTTGGTAGTACTTATGTTTTACTTACTCTCACTAAGTTTTGAGTGGTTTACTGGCTTAGTACAGAAAACCAGTACATTTATCAGAATACTGCATTTTACTATCTTACTCCTTTTTTTATTCCTAAATCATAGTCGTTTTCTGTTTCTGTGTATGTTTGGGATATATGTAATGAGATTTATTTTTATTTATACAGAGAAATATTTATGATTTCTCTGACTTTCAGGTTTAAGACTTAAGACTCCTGGCATCTTCATGATAAGAGGGATAACTTGTATTACTGGCCATAACTACTGTGTAGGGTGGAATTGGAGTTACCTTGTAGCTCTCCCATCAGACTGCTATTCTATCCTGCCTCCTACTGTCATACATGCTTATCAAAGAATGTATGGTCCCAGGAATCCTACAGGAAAAAATAATCCCCTTTAACCTCTAGTCCCAGTGTGTATACAGACTCTCCTTTCTTTGGCCAACTGGACCATGTGGAAGCCACCTGCATGCCACCCTACTCTGTGGGCTCCACTTTGTCCTTGCTTATCCTATCCAGGAGAGTGAAGAGGAGTCGTGGAAGGAGTATGGGAACTTTGATACCCTCCACACATCTTTGGAAAGGTCCACTCTAGTACACTGACCCCTGGATATGGTCTTAGTTTTTCTCTTTGATCTGTATCAGGGCTCTTCTTCCTCTCTGGGGTTGGATTAGTGGGATGGGCAGCTTTGCTTTTTCCCTTAAAGTAATGGGAAGCATGCATGGCCCATGATTCTTCCCCCGCCGCCCCACACACTGTATTTTATTTTTACAAGAGATAAATAAACTGACACCAAGCATTGTAAATGGATGACCACAACAAAAGCAACAATGATTGCAATTACCAAACATGAGACACACTCATACTATGTCATAATACTGACATTCATTTTAACAGCTAAAATTTATATGGACATGCAAAGGACCTAGAATTGCCAAAACATCTTGAAAAAGAAGAACAAAACTGGAAGAATATATTATCTGATTTCAAGCCTTACACAGTAATTAAGATACTATAATACTAGGATGAGGAAAAAAACCAGACGGTTGAAACAAAAGAGAGTCCAGAAATAGACCCACACTTATAGGGTCAACTGGTTTTCAAAGCGCTGCCAAGGTGATATAAAAGGGAAAAAAGATACTTTTTCAACAAATGGTTCTTGAACAACCAGATAAAGGAAAAAAAAAAAGAAAGAAGGAATCTCAACCCTTACCTCACACCACATAAAAAACTGATTCCAAGATGGATCACAGATGTAAACTTAAAATCAAAAATAAAAAGTGTAGAAGACAACACAGAAGACTATCTTCATGACCTTGGGGATAAGCAAAGATCTTTTAGGATACTGAAAGCACTAACTATAAAAGAATAAAACATAGATAAATTGGATTTAATGAAAATTTAAAACCCTGCTCTTCAAAAGGCATCATTAAGAAAAGAAATGAACAAGTCATAGTCTGGGGGAAAATATTCATAATGAGTATGTCTAAAATGAAATGTTATTCAGAACATACAAAGAACTCTTTCAATTCAATAATAAAAAGAAAATTAACCAACTTTTAAAAATAGGTTGAAGATTTGAACAGACTTCACAATGGAAGAGATAGCAATGGTCGATAACCATATGAAAAAGTGCTCAACATCATTAGTCACCAGAGAAATACAAATTAAACCCACAAGATACCACCAAACACTCACAGAAATGGCTAAAACCAAAAATACTGACACCATCAAGTGCTAGTGAGGATGTGAAGCAACCAGAATATTCATATTTTGCTCTTGGAAGTACACAACGGCACAACCACTCTTTATGAAATTACAGGTATAAACCCTATGAATCAGCAATCCCACCCCTAGGCGTTTGCTCAGTAATGAAAACATGTGCCCACAGACACAAAAACGTTCAGAGCAATTTCACTTATAATAGCGCCAAACAAGAAACTACCCAAATGTTTATCAGTAGGAGAATGAATAAACAAATGGGATATAGTCACTTAATAGAATACTATTCAGCAGTAGAAAGGGATGAGCTACTAATACATGTAACAACAAAGGTGAAAACATTATACTATCAAGAGTGTAATAATGCAAGAGTACGTAACATGATTCCACTTATGTGAAATTTTAGAACACGCAAAACTAATCTATGGTGACAGAAATCAGTATGGTTGCCTTGGGCTGGGTGACAGGTTGTGGACTGGCTGGCATAGGGAACATTCTGGGGTGATGAACACATTCTCTGCCTTGATAGAGGTGTGGATTACATAGGTAGATGCATTTGTCAAAACTCACTGAATTATAACAGTTAAGTTCTATGCAAGATATACCTTGATTTAAAAAAGAGATACAGAGTTAAGTGGGTTATATAGCAAATTTCAACACATTAGCAATTCCTGGTACTACTGGCTCTATAAAAAGTAAATGTAATTTAAACTTAAATAAAGTTATATATATATATCTTTTTAATCTGAAAAAAGTTTTAGCTGGTAAAATGTTTTTTCATAGTACCAACAGATTTGAAGATCTGTTCCTCAACTACTTTCACTTTTGCTCTTAAGTAAGATTTCTAGAAAACAGAATTCCCTTTTTTCATTACACAACTCTAAGATCAATATTAATCATAATTAGAAATGAAATGGAAATATGTAATAATGCTTAAGGTCGCACAGTTTTAACTATATGTGCCTAGTGATATGAAGAGGTAGATAAGAAGGGTCATCTCACTGCACACATAGTTCAGCATATTTCTACTACAAAATAACTGCAGTGAAACAGGTTCTAGAGACTATGAATTTAAGGCAAATCCAGCAAGCTTACCTAATACTGGAACCACAGCATAACATGATGCTAAGAATGCTTCTGTGGGAATGCCACTGTCTTCCAGAAGTTCAATGTCACTAAAGCTAAACAATTTGGTGATACAGAGGAGGAAAGAGTGAAAACACAACATTAGCATGCTCTGCAGTTCAGAGGCAGTCGTGAAAACAGCTGCCCCTCTGTAGGTCAAATCATTTAACTTCATCTCACAAATATGCCCCAGTGACTGTTCTTCTATTACAACACAGTCTAATAAAATCATTTTCCAAAGATAATCCACCAAAGCAAGCTAAAACTTGTTGACCGAGTATACTCTCACAATCCAGTTCCTTCTCATCCACTGCTTCAGGCAAGGTGAACAGTAAAGGAGATGCTTGGTATGCCACATTCTCTATTCTGTTAGGATACGCCATCCCCTGAAAGGAACACCAACATTGACTTTCCAGAAGGAAAGCTCGTATCCAACTGTCAGTGATTTTAGAGAGTACAGAATACCTGGTGTTCATGGTACTAAAGAAAGTTGGGATGACTTCTTGGCCTTCTTCCCAGTGGGCTTCTGGAGAGCTGCTTGAGGAGTGTGATTCAGACTGCGCCAAGTGGCTGTCATGATTTCCCAGGTTTTCCTCTCCATCTTCCTTTATCATTTCACGTTGGACTGTAAAGCAGGAGATACCTACTACTAACCTTTTATTTATGTATTATAAGATTACTATATATATCTATTCATTGTTGAACATTTTTAACACAGAAAAGTATACAGAAAGAAAAATCAGTGAAATACTACACATATACACACAAACAAAATTGAGTTTAAATACATGTAGATTTCCATCCAGCCTGTTTTCACTGAATGGTATATCATGAATATTTTCATTATCATTCAATACTCTTCAAAACATGGTTTTAATGACCATGTAACATTGAATCATGTTTATGTGGTGGGCGTTTAGGTAGTTTCTAAACTTTCAGTATTATAAATAGAGTTGAGCCTCAATATTGGTGTATTCTGTCTTTGTGGATTTGCCTACTTGCTGAAGTGTATTTGTAATACTAAAATCCACGCTCATGGCACTCTTGCAGTCATTTTGGATATGTGCAGAGTGGTGAAAAAATTTGAGCTACCTGACACGCATGTTCCCAGCTGAGGTCGAACAAGGTGACACTCTGCCTTCTTGTTTCACCTTTCATACTGTACGCAAGTGTGTTTATTTAGTGCCATTTTTTTTTTTTTTAGCTTTCTTGTGCATTTTGTTGTTGATTTTGCTGTTTAAAAGGACCCCCAAGTGTAGCGCTGCCTAGTGTTCCTAAGCACAAGAAGGCTGTGATGTGCCTTATGGAAAAACACGTGTTATATAAGCTTATATAAGATAAGCTTCGTGGGCTTCCCTGGTGGCGCAGTGGTTGAGAGTCCGCCTGCCGATGCAGGGGACGTGGGTTTGTGCCCCTGTCCGGGAGGATTCCACGTGCCGTGGAGCGGCTGGGCCCGTGAGCCATGGCCGCTGGGCCTAGGCCACAGCAGTGAGAGGCCCGCGTACCGCAAAAAAAAAAAAAAAAAAAAAAGAGATAAGCTTCGTTCAGGCATGAGTTATAGTGCTGTTGGCCATGGGTTCAATGTTAATGAGTCAACAATATATATAAACAAGGTATCTTTTTTTTTTTCCTTTAGGAGGAAGGACTCTTTTCTTTTTAATTTTTATTGGAGTATAGTTGATTTACAATGTTGTGTTAGTTTCAGGTGTACAGCAAAGTGAATCAGTTATACATATATCCACTCTTTTTTAGATTCTTTTCCCATATAGGCCATTACAGAGTACTGAGTAGAGTCCCCTGTGCTATACGGTAGTTCCTTATTAGTTACCTATTTTATATATAGTAGTATGTATATGTCAATCCCAATCTTCCAATTTATCCCTCTCCCCAACAAGGTGTCTTTAAACAGAGACACAAAAAACAACAATATGTTCTGATCAGCTGATGAAAATGTGAAAAGAGGCTTGCAGGAACCTAACCATGTATTTCCCCTAGGAGCAACGGTTCAGTATTTTCTAATTCAGTGTTTGCAGTGACTTTATAGAACAAAACTACCATGAGTAATGAGAATTAACTGTAATGTCATAAAGGACATCCCTGTCCATATATATTTGTCTTTAAATCTGACTATTCCCTGAGGACAAATTCCTAGAAAAAAATTATTGGGTCAAATAAATAATAGTACTGTTTTGACAGAAATTCTCCTGTCTATTATTTTCTCAAGGGATAAGACTTCAGTGATGTATGGATTGCTTGCTGCAGGTTAACAGCTATGAAAATGCATCTTTTCTTCCCCCCACTCACCAGAGGAGATGAGGAGGAAACTTTTAAAACAATTTTATTTTCAAACTATTTAGTACACACTTATAACACAATTAAAAACTCTAAGATGGTTGTCATGGACTGATCTGAAGTTGGTTTCAGTAGCTAGAGCCAATGAAATTAGTAAATCGAAAAGGGCAGCACTTTCAACTACAGGTTATCACCTAAAACTTGGGAATTTGGCTTGATGAACACAGAGACGGCCAGGCGAAAGTCTGATTGGTGGTTGGTGAATTCGGACATCCTCAGGCCTCACCAGAAACCAGGAGGATGGAAAACTGAACTGCCATAACTCTGCAGGCTCTTAAGTCTCACATCATAGTCTATGTTCAATGGACTTTGAAATTCTGAGCAGAAGGCCCTAATACTCATACTCTCTAAAAAGTCAGCACAGACAGCTACAGCTCACTGAAGCCCATGGACATCACAGCTAAGAACAGTGAGTGGGAAACTCCTCTTCATTCTGCCTTTTCAATAGGGGGGTCAGGTGGGTTGGCAGAACGTTTTCAAGTGAACTCTGTTATCTTACGAACAGCTGCCTCGGGAGCTACCTAGCACGCTGTCTTGAGGTCAATCCCTATCAAGTGTCGCATCATGGATAATGAATCAAAGCCCCATGATCCTTTTATTCAATGGTTTGCCTCACATCTTTTTTGTTTTTACCTGTTATATTATCATCTGTATTTTCTTCACTTGATATGCTGCGATCTGTCTCTGCAGGTTTCAAACATAAGGAGCTCTTGTTTTTCATTAGGATTTCTTCATCATCATTTATCTCCATATGTAAAGATCCGTTCTCACAGCTGTTTAACTCTGTTTGCCTAAAATTTTTTTAAAAGGAAAAAAGCCAAGAAGTCCAATTATTTGGTCATAAATAGACTGCACAGATAGATCCTATTCTGAGGGATGGGGAAGGGTCCACAACCACAATGACCAACTCCTTTTAACGCTGATTGAAAAACAGAACTGTTAAATCAAGCCAAATCTCTCACCCCACCCTCCTGCCTCAAAGGCAGGTATCCTCCTGTGCTGGGAGCAGGCCTGTCTCCAGGCTGAAGTTCAGAGACCAAAGAGCCATTCATGGCTCTTCATGCACCCTCAGCTGACTCCAACTTCCTGCTCCCCACCAGCAACAGGAAATATTCACTGATAGCACCTGGGTTTTCAATCAGCTTTTCTACAGGTACCACATTCAACACTTTTTCTCACTTTCCTCAGCTTCTCCCTGGAAGGTTTCTTCCTCTCTCCTCACCTCTCAAATCACTGGCCACTTCCATTTGTTTGCCTAGCAGTTAACTGTCTAGAAGCCACAGCTGTGGTCAAGGAAGACCAAAAAAAACCCAGGAGGACACAATACATCCTGAGTATCTGTTGCTCTTTAGGGTAACATAAAAGGCTATTTAACATGCAAGTGAAATAACTGATTCTGTTAAAGGGACAACCATAACATCTTATTATAAATAACTAGACTCAGCCAAATCAGAACAAAACCATTTTCTTCTAATAAGAATAAAGGGAAAAGGTCCAAGCTACATGTTGACTCCAGGAAAAGCATTTGTTTTTCTAAAAAAAATACCGTATTTCAACTTGGCAATTAAAAATATAGGAGTATATTGATGAAATACCTCAAAAGAAAACAAAAAATCTACAAAGATGTTCCTAGTAGAAATATTTAGATCAGGAGAAAATTATTAACCAAATTGGGGAACAATCCTTGTACTAAAGAAACAAACAACTGTATATAAAGAGATGAAAATATTAAATAATAACTTGAAAGGACAAATACATGGACAATGTCAAAATACAGGAATGCTTATATGAAATAATAACTGAATAAAGACCCTAAATAATAGGAACACAACTGTGTAAACGTGTACTTTTTTTCAGTAGTTCAGATTTTGATATTATGTTCTTTTTCCAACCTGTAAAGCTACCTAAGATTTTTATTTTTAAATGAAACAAAATAGCACTGTCTTTTCTGATAAAACCACATTTAAATCAATGCTCGGCTCCTTCACAAGAGAGGAGGTTCCAATACTCAGTACAACAGAGAAATGAAAAGTTATTAGATGTGGTGGGTGAGATCCATATCCTGGGGAAATGCAAACATCTTCCCTAGTAGTCAGTGCTGAATGAAAGATTTGCAGTGCTTCAGGTTCACCTCTGGTATCATCTCAAACCATGAGAAAAACCACCACATGATTTCTTTTCTTTTCTTTTTAAAATTTATTTATTATTTTTGGCTGTGTTGGGTCATTGTTGCTGCACATGGGCTTTCTCTAGTTGCAGTGAGCAGGGGCTACTCTTTGTAGCTGTGCATGGGCTTCTCAATGTGGTGGCTTCTCTTGTTGTGGAGCACGGGCTCTAGAGCACGTGGGCTTCAGTAGATGCGGCGCGTGGGCTCTAGAGCACAGGCTCAGTAGTTGTGGCACACGGGCTTAGCTGCTCCACGGCAAGTGGGATCTTCCCGGACTAGGGCTCGAACCCGTGTCCCCTGCATTGGCGGGCGGATTCTTAACCACTGCACCACCAGGGAAGCCCACCACATAATTTCTTAAAAAAAAAAAAAAACAAGGAATACCAATATCCTTATTTTATATTTTTAGAAAGAAGAAAAAACAAAAAATGTTACTGTACCTTTCCAATGAATTATGAATTGGTACAATAGGATGTTTCATCTTTAAAAGAAGCAAAGAAAAGAAAATTCACATGTTAAACTCCCAACAGAATATATTTAGAGTTTTATCACATATGAAAGTGCTAAATATGATCATAACACACACTGCCCCACTCGAGAGGAATAATTTTAGGTCTTCCCAAAAGAAAGGAGTCATTGATCCCAACCAGTCTCAAATAAGGATACCCAAATTTCTAAGAAAAAGGAAGATGGTCTTTTGAAGGGCCTAATTACCATATTTATACCCTTGGTGGTTAGCTTTCTTGTAATTACTATTACACTCATTAAATATTATTAAATACCAAACTATGATACAGCATTGTATCAAACACTGGAAGCATAAAGGTAAACAGTATGGGGTTCTTGCCCTTAAGGTACTTTCAATATAGAATAAGGCTAAAATAGGGGTATGCGTAGAGGAGGAACTCTTAGGCCAACTAAGGGATTCAGGGAAAGAGAGATTAAATTTTGAAGGATGAATAAGAGCTAAGCAGGGCAAGACAGGTGAGAAGGGCATTCTTGGTACTGGGAAATGGCCCAAAGAAGTGGGGGAGCTACAAGCAGTTAATACATTCAAGCCAGGTTATGAAAAAGAAAGAGGTTGGTGATGTGGGAAGGGGCTAAGACGTTTTGACTTTAACCTGTAGGCAGTGAGGGAGCCACTAAAAGGTTTAGGTAAAGTGGCCCAATTTACACTGCATGAACAGAAACACTGTAGGCTGCCTCAAGAGTCGAGCTGAAGGCAACTAGTTAGAAGGCTGTCACCAATCTCAGCAAGACTCCCTGGACAAGGAGGCTGGAGACAAGAAACTAGCTACATCAGAGACAGACATGTTCAGGTGGTAAAACTGCCAACACTAACTGACTGGATACAAGGGGCTAAGGGCATATATAATAGTGGACATAAAAGAAAGTCCACCACAAAAATGTCTTTATCAGTTGCCAAAGGGTGATGGAGAACTTAGCTCAGTGTATCACTTTCTTAACTTTTCATCATGCCCTACTGCAGCCAAGCTGACCTGGTCTGTTACCTTGTTGGACTTGAGCATGGCCAGCTGAGGTGATCCTGGGGGAGTGCGATAGAGCAGCTCAGAAGTGAAGGCTGCGTTTGCGATCTGCATGCATTCTTCCAAAGTCTTCAGAAAAGTATTGCAGGTTGATTTCAGCAGAGTTCCCACATCAATTCCCTCCTACAAAACAACCAGGGTGAAGACTCCTTTACCTTGCCAAAAAGGAAAAAGCCCAGTTGTGGAATGTCCTTAGAGGTTTTATCCAGCTAATAACGGGTGATAACAATAATCATGTACCCGTCTATTTTGCTGGGCAAATATGTGTATCAGTTATAAAAGAAAAAGACTGAGCAAGTCCAACTTATCTATTAATCATACTCAAGCCTTACCCTCAATCTGCCCTTCATGCTCACCCACCACTCCAACTGAAGGCAACGACTTCTCTCAACTCAACAACACTATATGACAGCACTTTTTCAGGTGCTAGGCGCTGAGCCCTTGTGGAGTTTGCGGTCTCTAAGGGGTGGCAGACACCAAACAGAATTACATGGACTGAAGACCAGGGGGATCAATGGAAAAATGTCTCCCACTGTCTGAGTAAAAATGAAGTTCTAGAATAGAAGCATTAGAAACCACACATCACAGTACAGATGAGTCTTTCAGTACAGATGAGTCTAAGAGGTTTCAGCAACTGGAATTATTCTGCATATCTAATCATTTTTTTCTCCAAGTTATTTCACTTGCTCAGGTTGTTTTTCCTCTGGATATTGATATTAATAAGTTGTTCAGGAAACTGAGGCTACCCCCTGACTAGAGAGTTTGGTAACCACATCTTAGTGGTATTAAAGTTACCAGATTGGGCCCAAGATGGAGTCACTCATGCTAAGTCTCACAACAGCAAACCAAAAACTTATCCAAGTTTCTATGCTGGGCTCTCCCAGAAAAGGCAGGCCTAGGTCAACCAATCAGTGCTTGCCTGCTCAGCACAAGTTAGTGTACTGACCTGGCTCCAAGACTTCCCTTTGCTCCATATAAGAAAAGTAACCCTGCTTTAACCATTCAGCAAATGCCCAGTATAACTTCCTTGTTCCTGTTCACTTTGGTCCATAAAGATCTCTAGCCTAGTACAGCTCTTCACAGCTCCTTTCTATCTGCTAGACTGGATGCTGCCCGATTTATGAATTGCTGAATAAAGCTAATAAGATCTTTAAATTTTACTCAGTTGAATTTTGTTCTTTAACCATAGCCTCTATAGTTTCCTCAATTTTGTATTTCTAACAAGCTAGATGTTACTGGTCGTGAACCACTATTTTTCAGACACCAATTACAATGTGTGGTTTTTTTCCACACCACCAAGAAATTCTTGGACACCAGCTGGGTGTCTTACAATTCTGAAACAATTTACCTGGAAATAGTGTCAGATCTCACAGGTTAAGCGCTCAGTCCTACAAGACTGCTCCCCACCCCCACTTCAGACACCAATGGCAAGTTCAGGGTGTCAGTTGTACTACTGACTGACCCACTCTAGAATGAAGATTCCAACAACCCCCTCCTTGTGTTTAGTTACTTTGCCAGAGCAGCTCACAGAACTAAAAGAAACATTTAACTTATTAGACTGCCAGTATATTATAAAAGCATATAACTCAGGAACAGCCAGATGGAAGAGATGCATAGGGCAAGGCATGTGGGAAGAGGCTTGGCACTTCCATGCTCCCTGAGTATGCCACTCTCCCCAGTCAACACATATTCACCAACTCGGGAGCTCTCCAAACCCCATGCTGTGGGTCATGGAAGCTTCGTTAAATGGGCACGATTGATTAAATCATTGGCCAAGGGTGACTGAAGTCAATCTTCAGTCCCTCTCCCCTCCCAGGAGGTGAGGGGGTAGGAATGAAAGTTCCAACCCTCTAATCACTTGCTTGGGTCTACAGTCAACCAGAGCCTCTATCCTTAGTATTTTCCAATTAACATAACAAAGACACTTTTTATCACCTGGAAATTCCAAGGGTTATTTTTTGGAGCTCTGTGCCAAAACCTAGACAAAGACCAAACATATATTTCTTATTATAAATCACAATATCATAACCACAGTTTCATAAGCAAGTTCCCAAGGCACTTACTATAAACACTTCCTAGAATTAAACATTGCTGTGTTCACTTTTTCCCTTCCTACTAGACCAGGGCTGCTCTACCTTGGCATCACTGGCATTTGGGGTTGGCTTATTGGAGCAGGGGATATAGGGGGAGTGGCTCTCCTATCCACTGCAGATATCAAGCAGCGTCCGGCCTCTACCCCTTAGATGCCAACAGCAATCCCCCAGTAGTGACAACCAAAAGTGTCTCAGACGTTGCCCAATGTCTCCTGAGGAGCAAAACTGCTCTGGGTTGAGAATCAATGCTCTAGTCTCTAACATCCCAAAAGCAGGACTGAAGTGTTTTGGTACCCCTCCCATCTCCCTCCCCCAGCACAGTATCTTGTACACGATAGGCAGTTGCTGAATGAGTAAGAGAGACCCCCAAAAGGTGAGTGAAAGTGAGTTAAACCATCTTTATTAGAAAAACTTAGAGCACATATATTACTAGTAGCATAGTGATACACCACCTAAGAAAAGTAATTTAAACCCATTAAGTATAATCTACAGATTCTTCATTTTGTGGGCACTGTTTTTCAGATAACTTCTCTGAGAGCAGAGCAGAGACCCCTCTCTGGTTAATGTGAACCGTTCAATACATAGCTTAACCCCAGATAGACCTTTTAATATATGTTTTAGAATGAGTAAAAAACAATTTCATTAATAAATGATAAAAATGGCAATCCTTGCTGATGATGGAGAGAAATGAAGCTGTGTCTCTATCTTTGAAAGCGCTAGTCTCTACTCAAGCAGAACATCTATTTCGGTGAAATAAAATCCTGTTACAGTCTCATCAAAGGTGACAGATACATGTTACTGACAGACATGATGCTGTCACCTTAGGAGCCACATGCGTAGTATAGAAATGGCTCTGCCAGACAGCTAAGGTTCTATTTTAGAAAGTTATGCAAACTGGGGAGACACATATTTTAGTACATCAGTACTAAAGTTAAAAGTTCCAAAATTATCAATTAATTAATCCTGAATTCATCCCAGGAAGGAAAACTATACGCTTCCATATGCTGAAATGCACACACTTCTCTTTGTTGAAGTCTGTCACTTTTTTTCTCTGAAAAACAGTAAATTCCAAGGTAGGGATTATGTGAGAATAAGCAGCACCTGTAAGCAACACCTGGTGCTACTTGTCACGTGGCTAAGAAGAATGGTATTTTACCTCAGAATTGGACACACCAGTTGCGGTCACTTCTTTTGTTTTATCTACTTGCTGAACAAGAAGATCACAGTAGAGTCTTAGTTCCGACATTTTAGTTTTCAAGTTTTCAGTGTTTTCAGCAAACTCTAAATAACAAAATGATGAAAACGTAATTTAATTCCCAGAATAAATAACTGATATACTAGTTAGCATACTATACAGATAAGTGAAATATAATCTATGCCTAAAGTCAGATGTTTATAGTATGGGTTACAGATACGACATATTTGAAGTTATGGGAGCAAGAAAAAGAGAAAAAGGAGATTTCTAGTCTTCTGAAGTAATCTACATTATTTCTTGAGCCAACATATTTAATGATCACCAGTACAGGAAGAAGGAGACAGTATACCTCTGATCCACTTGTGTCAGAACTGGGAACAGTCAAGGGTTCAGGGTTTTGGTCTCAGTTCTGCCACAGTTTTCCTATCTGTAAAATGGGGTCACAGCTATCTATCCAGTGCTCAAAACTGGGAAACAGTGTTCTGTAACATGCAATTACCACTAATAAGACAGCTTGTGAATTCAGAGGACTGGTTCAGCATGCTGCCTGGCAAGGCGAACGGCACCCTCTGCACACCTGCTGCTCCTTCATTACCACGGCACTCCAGCCATCCTGGCGCTGAGGGCTCGGCTACAATCATAACTGCCTCTGCTTGCTTCTCCGTGAAAAAGCTGCACATTACCACCTGATCTGAGTCAGAGCTGACAGTGTCTAGAATTTGCTCTCGACTTAGCATTGAAAAACAACCAACAAATAGGTCATTTTACTGTGTCTACTTGAAGAGTTAAGCACATCTGCCATATGTGTCATGAGGAAGGTCCCCTGAAACACTTGTTCCCAGAGGCCCCTCTCTCCCACCAATCTTTTCAGGTGTACATTCGAGGCTGGGGGGCTGGGAAGGCAGAGCTCAGGCAGTAAGCCCTGGCACTCGTGACCCAGGCAAAATAGAAAGTTATGCCATGGTTCTCAGGAGACCCAATGATGTTGAGTCAATGAGCATTAAGCAGCAGCAACCTGACAATTAAGTATCCATCTACCCCAGGAACAGGGCGGGGAAAGCGGGGTGTTACTGCAGGAAATACCAGATCCAAGGCTTCTCTGGCTCAGCTACTCTTTACCGAAAGTCAACTTTGTGCCAGACGAGGTACCTCATGGTAATCCTTCTAAGATAGGTAATCACCTCTTTTCAAAATATACGGAAACGGAATATTAGAGAGGTTAAGTGACCTATGTCAAGGTCACAAAGCCATGATTTGAACCCAGTTGTATCTGGCTCCAAAACCTGCATTCTTTCTACTATGACATGCTAAGAAAGAAGACTCAGGTATAGACTGTTTAAGGTCCACTGAGATATACAGCATTTGCATGATATAAAGAGCTGGCTATGGGGGCTTCCCTGGGGGTGCAGTGGTTGAGAATCTGCCTGCCAAAGTAGGGGACACGGGTTCGAGCCCTGGTCTGGGAAGATCCCACATGCCGCAGAGCAGCTAGGCCCGTAAGCCGTGGCCGCTGAGCCTGCGCGTCCAGAGCCTGTGCTCCGCAACAAGAGAGGCAGCGATAGTGAGAGGCCGGCGCACCGCGATGAAGAGTGGCCCCTGTTTGCCGCAACTAGAGAAAGCCCTCACACAGAAACGAAGACCCAACATAGCCAAAAATAAATAAATAAAATACTGAATACATAACTACTTTAAAAAAAAAAGCTGGCTATGGCTAGGTGGTCAGAAGCAAGATAACAAATATGGGAACCCAGAGATGCCACTAGGTGATTCCCAGGGTTCCCAGTCCAGAGGACAATCAATACTTGCCTTTTTCTTTCTGGGTCCTACTGTCTGTCAGGCAAGCCTTGGCTGACCCCAAGGCTACCAGCCACCGTTGTCTCTCAGCCACACTTCTGGCCTTCAGGTAGAAATATTGTTCCCCAGGGATTATCAGGTCCATGCGTGTGTTATCTACAGAATGAACTGGAAGCAAAGCATAGGGAGGTCAGAAACCCAGAAAAGCCCTATCTGGGTAGCCTCCACTCCACCCAAATTCTTGAGCTTAACTGGCGCGCCAGTCACTGAGAGCTTCTTCCAAGAGAGGATGTCAGCCCTTACTACTTCTCCTGGTTTATTTATCTCTTCCTAGAGGTCTCTGCTAATGGAGAAGGAAAGCTCTGCAATTGGCTCCAAGGTCTCACCAGGACTTTGGCCTAAAAAAGAATCACCTAAATCTCCTTAGGATCATTTATAAGAGGAGAAAGGAAAAATCTCTCTTCTGGTGTGTATGTGTGTGTAAAGTATGCTGCTCTGCGGCCAAAAAGGCTTGATGCAAACAAGTAAGGATGTGCTCTTTATCTCCTTGGGTTATTGAAAAGCAATCAAGAACACAATATCTTTCCTTTCTACTTTCCTTCACTAGTCTTATCAAAAATGTGAGAATTCCCTTAGAACACTTTAGGAGAAGAAACAAGCAAGCCACACTCTCCTTCACCCCCCAAGCTCCATGCCCCAAATTCCCTTCTAGTCGGTTTCTGAGCCACATCCTCTCAGCATGTCTCAAGATTCTCAAAACCAAGAAGAAAAGGCTATTTGTAGGTCTGTTAGGTGTTTGCTTGTTTAGTTTTGAGCATGGTGGTGGTGGTGAGAAGGTGTGTATGCGTTGTGATTTAAACACAGAAGTGTTTGATGTTGCAATAAAAAGACAAATAAGCTTAGCAAACTGCCACAGGCCCGAGGTGAGCAGGTGACCAAGGAATGAGCACTACATGTGTGGTTACTAAGCACGTTGCTCTCATTTATTCTGACTACCTCTAAACCAAGCTCCTTGTAAAAACTCGCTGCAGTTTTAGGTCTTACTTGTAAGACTTTTTCTGGGGGACATAACATTATATATCTTTATACTATGGGAGCAGCAAAGAAAGGCACACAGAAGCCAGTGGTTTTTTTTATTTTGGGGGAGAAACAGAAAGAAAAATAAAACCTGCAAGTGTCTTGGCTTCTCACCTTGAATTTCACACACCGCCATCTGGATGCTCCCTTTGCAGCCTTTCCAAGCATCTTCAGGAGAATCATAATAAGATAATATTCCCCCACAGAGAAGGAACCACCGAGGCTGCCAACCTGAAAACAGAAGCAAGAGCATGGTCTCAATTACTGCTTCCCAGGACATAGGAATAGGACCTAACAAAGGATGCTGGATTCTAGCTCCAAGGAACTTACATTCTGGGGGAAAATTCTAAGGGAAAGAAATAAGTTAGAAAAGATCTGTATGTTTGATCTCATTTTTGCATAGAAGTCTGGAAGGATCAGCAATAAATATGGTGATGATTCTCTAGGTAATGGGATTACTTATGATTTTTATCCCTTTTTCCCCCTAATACAGTACTAGTAATCTTTGATTTTTACTTTTTCTAAGATAAAAGATTAGTATTTTCCAAAGATTATTGTTAACATCCTTTCTCTCCTCCCCTCTGGTTAAGAAAAATTATTTCAAACCTAGAAATGAGAGAAAAGATTATGCTGCCCTTTCAACATCATGCGAAGTGCTGTCTAATACGCCTGCCTAGGGTCATATGTTCCCTAAGGAAAGATAACTTTAAACTTACTATTTGGTAGTGAGCCACTGAAATGGAATAATCTTAAAACATTCAAGGGCTTAACTACTTTTACTTCACATCATTTCAGGGGACGAACCATATTCAGTGGAAACACACATCTTATCTAGTCCTCTTACACAACCTATGTTCTAGTCAAACCAAACTTACTTGCTGTGTGCCTGCCTCAGGGCTTTTGCTCAAACTGGATCTTCCTAAAATGTCATCCCTGACTACCTCTGCAGAAGCCTTGTTAGTCTCCTCATCAGATGTATTTTTTCCTTCTCTGAAATGCCATAGGCTTTTAAGGATACACTTCTCTCACCAGACTCTTCTACAGCTGAGACAGCTGGAGCGAAGGCTGGTAGGCGCTTTGCGCAGAGCCCCAAGGGCTGCTCAGGTACATACCTGATGGGCCCTTGGGAATTGACTCACACCGGCTAAATACGTAAGTCACCAACTGATGTCACAGTAGTATTGTTAGGGAACCACTAACTGAAACCGCCCACCCTGGCCAGGCAGAATAATAACTGCTTGCATGAGTTATCTCACAACAGGAGGTCTCAATAAGAAACACGGAACTGACCAGCTACCACCAGCTGGCAGAAATCGGGAGGGGCCAAAAGGAGGGAGGAGATGCCAGCCATAATATGTCCTGCCGATGTCCCAGAAACCCTGACGCTGGAAACCACCTTGACTGAGAGATGCGTGCGTCACCAGGAATTGGACCAAATATGGGCACAAGCAAGATGACTGGCCAGAGACAACCCGGCAAGCTAACCCCATTACTATAAAACCTGAGATGTGAGCTACGTGGCAGAGCAGTTCTCCTGGGTTTCCTTTCCCTGCTGCTCTCCCCCCCGGGGGGCCCTTCCCAATAAAGTCTTTTGCTTTGTCAGCATGTGTGTCTCCTCGGACAATTCATTCCCGGGTGTTAGACAAGAGCCCACTCTTGGGCCCTGGAAGGGGTTCCCCTTCTGGTAACAGCATCAATTTATTACGTTATAACAGAAGATTTAGTACACTTCCTGGAGCACCCACAGCCTAAGATCATAGTTCAGGGAAACTTACATTTTTAATCAGGAGGCTGAATGGTCAGCACTAAATCTAAGCTCAGGCACAGGAGTTAGGTGGCAAGCGAGATGTTTCACTCATCATTTACTTCATCAGGGTCTGCTTTCTAGGAACCAGAACACTCAGGCCTGCTCAGGTACCACATCTCTCACTTCCTTAAACAAAATTGGATAAAGACCAATTCTCAATATCCACCCTCATACCAGTCACTGAAATACCCTTCCCTATAAGCCTTCTCAATCAAAGATGAGTAACGTATTCTACAACTATGGCTTATGTTCCTCTTATTCCATCTTATACTGGGGACTTCCTTCCCAGAGATGAACCTAGACCCTTTACTGGACATCAGGAGCCCCACGGCCTTATCTCAACACCCCCACAAGTTGATTACTGGCTAGACAACCTCTTGGGGTGAACTTGAAAATTTTATTTCAGAAGGTGATGCTTCCTGACCTTGGCTTCAAATTCTACGGAAACACAAACCCGAGGGCTACTATTCTTGGCACAGACATTACAATCCAGGAAATCAAACTGATCATCAGATTGTCTTGTTGGGTAGATAATCAACACTCCTGGAGTCAGATATTATTAGTGATATTGTAGCCCTTTGCAAGAGAGTCATTATTTATACCTTATGCCATCTCCCCTCACTGAAACAGAAGAATCAATTCCTAAGAATCTGAGAAACGGAAAGGGCCTTTGAAATCACCTAGTCCAACCAGCTCATTTTACAGAGAAGGAAACCAATCCCAGGTAGATTAAGTGACCTATCTAAAGTCACACAGGAAGTACACAACAGAGTTGGGAAGAAAACTATGTCTTTCTAACACTGTCCCTCCTGGCATAACAACCCCCAAACCTTGACTCCCCATTGCTAGAAAGCTATCCTGGTACAGAACAGTAGCATCTTCTCCCTTACAGCTCAACTCCCATGATTATGTTTGGTGTGAACACTCTCCAAATCCACTATGACTCTCAAGTAGAGGGAGTTCAGCATACCCTCAATCATCATATTTTATAATTTAGGACCCCATCTGTATTAGTCTTGGTTCTCCAAAGAAACAGAACCAATAACATGTATGTATATCTATATATAATTTATTATAAGGAATTTTCTCATGCAATTATAGAGGCTGCAAAATTCCAAGATCTGCAGTCAGCAAGCTAGAGAATCAGGAGAGCCAATTTGTAATTCCAGTCCAAAAGTCATCAGGCTTGAGACCCAAGAAGAGCCAGTGTTTCAGTGAGACTGAGAAAACCGGAAAAGACCAGTATCCCAGCTCAACAATCAAGCAGGAGGAGCTACCCCTTACTCAGCCTTTTTGTTCTACTTAGGTCTCCGACTGACTGGATGAGATCCACTCACACTAGGGAAAGCGATTTACTTTACTCAGTCTACCCGTTCAAATGTTAATCTCATCCAGAAACACCCTCAGACACACCCAGAATGATGTTAGGTCAAATGTCTGGGCACCCCATGGCCCAGGCAAGTTGACACAAAAAATTAACCATCACATACCATTAATTTGAAGATAAACTAAAATATTTGCATGTGATGTGACCGACAAGGCTTAATTTCCAAAATACACAAATAGCTCATACAACTCAATAACAAAAAACAAACAACCCAATCAAAAAACGGGCAGAAGACCTAAACAGTCATTTCTCCAAAGAAGACATACAGATGACCAATAGGCACATGAAAGGATGCTCAATATCACTAATTATCAGAGAAATGCAAATCAAAACTACCATGAGGTGTCACCTCACACCAGTCAGAATGGCCATCATTAAAAAGTCTACAAATAATAAATGCTGGAGAGGGTGTGGAGAAAAGGGAGCCCTGCTACACTGATGGTGGGAATGTAAATTGGTGCAGCCACTATGGAAAACAGTATGGGGGTTTCTTAAAAAACTAAAAACAGAGTTACTGTATGATCCAGCAATCCCACTCCTGGGCATATATCTGGAAAAGACTCTAATTCAAAAAGCTACACGCACCCCTATGTTCACAGCAGCACTATTTACAATAGCCAAGACATGGAAGCAACCTAAATGTCCATCAACAGATGAATGGATAAAGAAGATGTGGTGTGTACACACACACACACACACACAAAGGAATACTCAGCCATAAAAGAGAATGAAAAAATTCCATTTACAGCTACACGGATGGACCTAGAGATTATCATACTAAGTGAAGTAAATCAGACAGAGAAAGACAAATATCATACGATATCACTTATGTGTGAAATCTAAAATAAGATACGAATGAACTTACAAAACAGTAATAGACTCAGACACAGAAAACAAACTTATGGTTATCAAAGGGTTATCAAAGGGGGAGGGATAAATTAGGAGTTTGGGATTAGCAGATGCAAACTACTGTATAGAAAATAGATAAACAACAAGGTCCTAATGTATAGCACAGGGAACTATATTCAACATCTCTTCTAACAACCTATAATGGAAAAGAATATGAAAAAGAAAAAATATATATATAACTGAGTCACTTTGCTGTATACCAGAAACTAACACATTGTAAATCAATTATACTTCAATTAAAAAAAAACAAAAAATAACCTGCCCATTGAGCAATGGCATGATACTCATTCTCAGATGCTTCATGACTTCAGAGCTGTTGGAATGTGAAAAAAAATGCCTAAAAATTGAAAAAAATGTGGTATAAACTAGGTTTATCTTACAGGAATCTGAAAAATGTTAAATAACCCAAACACACACACACACGCACACAGCACAGCTGCAATATGTTTTAAAGGTAGCTTGTAAATGATAATAGTAACTGAAATAATACCTTCTCTGTAATAGGTTCTGTATTTACCTAGGAAAAGTTATAATGACACTAGAAGAGTTTCAATTATTTTATTCTGTAGTTTGTAACTATAAAAACTATGACCAAGAAAAACTTTTCCTTAAAGCATAAAGTTCCTAGAATTTCAGAATTTCAGAAGGCATGTTAAGAGACCACAGACGTCTCATTCCCATTATCTGAGATTTAATGGCAGAGCAATGGAGAGTCCAGAGTAATGTAGAGACACACTGCTCTTTCACGATGTACACTCCTGGGAAGCTCAGATACAGCTCAGGAATGATGCATGAATTGCATGAGAAAGGAGGCATGCATGATGAAGAGGCCATTAATGCACTTCCTGTTTTAAATTAATCTGCTGTTACCTTGGTTTGGGTGATGGCTAATTTTATGTATGAACTTGACTGGCCTACCAGATGCTCAGATAGCTGGTAAACCATTATTTCTGGGTGTGTCTGTGAGGGGGTCTCTGGGAGATATTAGCATTTGGATCAGCAGACTGAGTAAAGATTGCCATCAACAATGCGGGTGGACATCATCCAATCTAATGAGGGCCTGAGTAGAACAGAAAGGCAGAGGAAGGGTGAATCTCCTCTCTGTGCCTGAGCTGCAACACCCATCTT